AAAACGGGGAACCGTTTAACCTTGAGAAGCTAGTCTTCATTTTCTATGAAATATTTGGGCTTGAATGCTTAGAGCCCTCCGCCTGTGATAAAAATAGAGGCCGTGAACAGTTTAACCACCTGTGTTGCCCTTGGATTGCATATTTTCCATTGTAAACAAGAAAACACAGATTGGAAAGCCGTTCATTCCTTCAGAAGATGTGCTTCTGTTGAGGTTCATTTGTGCTTTCAGTCAATGGAAACTGAAAACAACCTTCCCAAGATGATCGGATTCCAGGCAAAAATGCTCCAAGACATCTTTTTATCTCCCTCTGCAGCTCTGGGAGTGGGGGGGGTGGTGCGTGGTGGTCTTCAAAAGGTTCATGGAAAATACATATGAAGAAACTATGCATGGATTTCAAGTTCTATTTGCACCAAAATAAACATTTGCATAAACTGGTTGAAGGCTCCCTCATAATTTCTACATAAAGCCCAAGAGTTTATTTTTCCCATGTACTCACTTCTTCCTTCCGAGTGGGGGCGGGGGTTGGTGGTGGCAACCCAAACAGGTCTTTACAGGGCAATCCAGCCCCAGCCTCAGTCAGCCCCAGACCAGCGACAGGTGTTCAGGGAGGGCTCTGGATGCAAACCTGCCCATGTGGGTCAGCCTTGAAGAGTGCTTCATTTCGGCTGCTCCACTGTCCAGCCCGCTAGGATTTCTTTTTTCACGCAATTAATAACGGTAACTGGCATGTCGTTTTGAGAGCACATACTACATTACATACTACATGTTTTACATATGGCCCGTCGTGGGTGATAATACCGTGTTTATTCTTAGTTCCTGTTTCACACAGAAGACAGGCTCGGAGAGTGGATGCCTTTCTGTCCTGCTACTCACGTCTAAGAGCTGTGAAACTGCTTTTCCCCCACGACCATAAACTAGTCCTAGCGTTCAGATATTCTTAAATAAGCGAATGGTGACAAGCACAGTGGTGACACTGCCCTTTTCTCCTAACTTCCAAGGTAACTTCTGGGGAGAGAGACGTAAGTGAAAGGCACTGGGTCCTAGAGCTCACGCTTTCTCTGTTGTGCCCTGTATGAGCCTCGACAAACCCGACCCTCACTTTCCCCTCCTCTGAAACGAGGTGTTCCCTCTGTCGTTCTAGCTAGGCTGACATCGCGAGATTGATCTAAAATTAAAAGTGCACACTCTTCATCCTGTTATTGGCATGGAATAATATTAACCACCACTCTCCTACTTTCTGGGTTCCATTTATCTAACTCTGTGGTTCTCAACGCTGGCTACGCATTAGAAGTTCCTCAAAGAGCTTTTAAAAATACAGATGCCCAGGCCTAAGCACTCGAGATTCTTTTTCAGTTGGTCGGAAGCGCAGCCCAGGCATCAGTGTTCTTCAAACACCGCTCCCCCCCTCCCCGCCCCAGTAACTGTGCAGCCACAGTTGAATATTGATCTAACCTAGCGAACTACTCCAATTTCACTCACCCCCGTTGTGCTTTTATAAATGTAGTTGCTCTAACTGGAATTCCTTTTTATAAAATCCAATAATTCTGGTGCTACCAGAGTCGATCTCAAAACAGATGTGAGCCTTCACTTTATTTAATTGTGTATTTTGTTTAAATAAGTTAAGGCATCTCACCAAAGCTTCAAAACGCTGTAAAAACGTGGTGTGTGTGTGTGTGTGTGTGTGTGTGTGTGTGTGTGACTCCTTCCTCGGGCAGGCGCAGAAGAGTGCTGTAGTCACCAGAAGGTGCTGGGTTAATCTGACCCAATAATTGATTGGCCAGGTGAAAGAAATCACACACAATATTTATTTAACCCAAGGGTAATACTCCTCGGGGGCAGGCGCAGAAGAGTGCTGTAGTCACCAGAAGGTGCTGGGTTAATCTGACCCAATAATTGATTGGCCAGGTGAAAGAAATCACACACAATATTTATTTAACCCAAGGGTAATACCCTTTCTTTGGAAATAGCTTGTGTTCGACCTCGCCTGAGAAACTGGCCTGAGCAGGAGGAGGCAGAAACATGAGGCCTGGGAGCTGCCGCCAGCCGTTCGAGTGCCCTCGGCCCTCGGCCCTTTTATTACTCTCGGTCTCTCATTTTGGCATCTTATTAGTGGTAAGCAAATGTTTCAAGGTTTCCCATCACCCCACCACTGCATTACGCACACACATCCCATGTACACATGTCATTGATGTGTTTATCTTTACATGTGCATGTAGACACACTCATACACACATGTCTACATGTAAATGGAAGCCAGCGTATAGTTTTTCTGACCTCTGTTGGCACAGTGAAGGCCAGTGAAGCACTCCCTGCGAGGTGAGTCGATCCGGTGGTCAGAAGCGATGTCCCCAAACATCTTGGGTAGGGCTGACATTTAAACAGGCGCAATTCTGTGAACTTTTGCCCTCTACCTGTTACTTGTAAACAATCTCAATGCAAACCAGACATGAGGCCCTACTTAATGAAGAAAATGCGCAAAACCGCCTTACATGTTAAACCACGGTGTTCTCCACTGATGGACGGTTTTGATCGCACCTTCCCGCCTCGGTGTTTACATTCCAGGATCGCTCATCGCTCATCTGGATTAGTTAGTATTCACATAAGTGAATGTGCCGCTCAAAATCATGTCCTGAAATAGAATTATCATCCAAATAATAGGAGGTGCTTATCCTGATAAAGATGAAAGTCCCAGAAAGATGAGGAGATAGTCTCGAATGTGAATGTCTATGATAAACTCTAGGTTAAAAAGAATAATCATTTCAGGCCTGAAACAAGGAGGAACAGAGGATTAAAGCTTGCTTAAATGAAGAAAGTGGAGGAAAACATCTTGCCACACCAAATATGTGATCCTGCCTAGGTCAAAGATGGTCTGTGCTTTAAAAAGTTAAATTTTTAAAACAATAAGTCTAGATAAATGAAAGAGATGTTGAAGTAACAGGGAAGTTGTCACTTCTCATGGGAACACAGGGATCAGAAATACTGACCTTGAGGAAAGGAGCGGATAGCATCGTGGGGTGAGATGACTTCCTCCCCTTTCGCTTTCCTATAGCAATATGTAGTCTGAGTTTGGGGACAGAAGTAAACTAATGAAAATATGTTTAATTTCTGTCGAATCCAATAACCACTTATTAAGCACTTCTTAGGCACCAGGCAAGCACCCGACTAAGCATAAAAGAATCAGGACGTTAAGACTCAGTCACCTTTCTTATAAAGTCCCCATCAGGGGACAGGGCTTACATAGAGACCCACTCCCTTACTGGTAAACTACGCCCAGCAGCTTCTACTCAAAATGACACTAGAAGCAGAGGCTGGAAAAGAAGAGCGTTTATTTCTGCAACCAGGTTACAAGGAGACAGCAAGTGCCGCCAGACAGCAAGTGTCTCCAAAAATGTAAATGCGCTCAGCATTTACGGATACGAAATACAACAGGTGCAAATCATTCCTCACTACCACCAGTCAGAGCCGATCCCTTTCCTTTGAGCAATTCTACTGATTCTGTTTTCCTGCAAATACCCATTCCTGGTTTCTAACCGTTTCTCATTGCGCCATTCCTCAAACGGACCTCCCCATAACTCGGTTCCTTGTCAGATTGTTCTCGTTAGAGGCTTGTCTTAGTTTCAAAATGGCTGTAGTCCTGCTAAACCTCAAGCTGACCTGCTTCAATCTGAAATATTAGTACAACCAGTTGCAAAGCTGGTAAATCCAGTTGTTTACAATTCGAGAATTGGGGGTTGGAGTAGACAAGAAGGTTGGGGGTAGCTTGGACATGCCATCAGCTTTGAACAGTAGCCAATTTTTATGACTAATGTTGGGAATTAGTCTGCTATGATCATCAGTTCAAATCCAACAGAAGCTCCCACTACCTCACGCCAACCCTGGCAAAGACCATGGGCATGTATGTGCCCTATAGCAAATTAAAATAAAGGCACAGAGGCAGCAGGTAGTGTGCTGGTTAAGGCACTAGACTTTCACATGGCCGAGCACACACAGTTTGAGCCTCAGACATGGAGGCTTGCTTTCTCACTTTCCCTTTCTCTCTCTGGTCAAATTAAAAAATAAAAACTAATAGTAATAAATAAAATGAAAATAATTCTTAAAAAGGAAAACAAAAAAAGGACAGTGGGTCAAAACACCTGAATGACAAGTTGGCTCTATCAACTACTAGTGAAGGTCTTCCTTCAGAACCTTGGGCTGATAAAAAAGTACATATTAACTACTATTAAGTAGATTTTCTGTCTCCGTCTCACGCAAGCATTTAATCCTTTGCAGAGAGATTTTAGAAGCTTTCAATTTGTAACTTAACAAACTTTGCAGGGAAAACAAAGACTTGGTACATCTGAATTAAAAGTAAAGATGCTGGTAAAAGCCTAACTAACCAACTCTAGGTGGGGCAAAAAGAAAACGCTGCTTAAGTGGTTGCATTTTATTGTTCTAAGGTCCATGTGGACTGCTTCAGCTATTCCAAGTGCTCCCCACCTCCCGGCGTGGATGGCTGTCACGGTCTCCAAATCTTCACAGACCCCTGCGCTGTGTCTCTGGACCCTGTCTTCCAGCCAATACTGTTGCGGCTCTTCCCTGATTGGGTCATGTCTGTAGGGACGGCCTTCCCAATTGGTCTGGAAAACCTCTCCTCGCTCTCCTCACATAGAGTGGTCTGTGGGGTATGGGCTGAGTGGCCTGGCAGTGGAGCCTTAGATTGGACTGAAAGACCAGGGACACCATAACCACTGTAATCACCGACAAGCCGTTGACCTCGGAAAATTAACTTTTTCTATCAGAGCTATTGTGTTCCCATCTATAAAGTGAAGAGGCCTTTTCTTTACGGCCTGTCTCAAATACATCACAATTCCGAGATTTTTAGTAAATCCAAGTCATGTCTCTTTTTTTCACATGCACACACGCACACATGCATGTGCACACACGCATCTTGCACCACACCGCCCTTTCTTTTGCCTGTATTTGTGAGCTAGCAGGCAACCCTATCATTTTATGTGTTTGTTTGTATTGAATGCTTCACAGATTTGCATGTCATCCTTGGCAGGGGCCATGCTAATCTTGTATTGTTCCAATTTTAATAAACGTGCAGCCGAAGTGAGTGCGACTGCGCCATTCTAAATGAGATGAACGCACGACCTCTTGCTGTGAGGCCTCTCCTGAGAAATGCTCCTGAGATTGGCATTTTATCTGCACAATTCCAATGACCGACTCCACCTCCCAGCGCATACAAAACCGAGCCCCACTCGGTCCAGTTTCTCCACTATGAAGGCTTCTGCACGTCCAAGCTCCTGCGAGTCCCAAAGAGCCCCTGATTGCTGGGCCTGCTTGCAGGGGCAGGTCTGTGCGGTCACACGGCTAGTCAGTGGGTGTCTCCGCTCCGCAGAAGCCATCTGCCACTTCCTTGAGGTGCCACAGACCAGCTGCAAGTCCTTCTGCTCCGAGTGGGCGGCAGGAGGGAGTAGTTAGAATTTCCAACGCGACAAGAGCGAGGGGAAGAGGTGCAACAGAGGAAGGGAAAGGAGGAGGCTACATGCCTGATGCTGGTGAAAAGTCCCTGGCTTTCATCTAACCTCAGCTCAGACTACTTTACACCTCCTGGGGTTTGGAACCTGTGGCCCTTCTTAACCCCCTGCACTTCCCTGCCCTCTCCTGCCCTCATCCCTGTGAAGGCTTCCCTATAAAAAAATGTCCTTGCGTTCTCTCTCTCCAGCTGTTTGAGTTTCTAAAAGTCTCTCACTTGTCTGTGGCATGTGCTCCAACCAAAAAATAGACCTCGGGCCCTGAGGATGGGAAAGAGGATTAAATGGCAAAAGCCCGCCTTGTGC